AGTTCTTAAGTAGTATTAGTAGGAGAACTCCTTTAGTGGACTAGGTGAGATGATATTGAGCATTTCACATTACATGGACTCTAGAAAACCAAAAAATGCTCAGCTTTACAGTTATGTTGGGTCACGCTTGCCCAGTGAATTTAGTTAACAAGTTTTCTCCCCACGTTTTTTTTTCTTTAAAAAAGGATTTATTAATTGTGACTATATTTGGTTTGTTTATTAGAAACAATTAGGAGTTGTTGTTATTAATAAAATAAAATAATTAATATTTATAATTAAATAATTTAAAATTAACTAATAAAAATATTTTGTTAAACATTCTAAATAAATGTTATAAAGACTTTATAAATTGAGCCTAACCAAATGCACACACTATATCTTATAAACTCTATAAACATGAATAAGAAATCCTAGCGGCACCATTCGTCACCCTCCTCCTCCTTTAGAGGCATTGCTGGTTTGCACACCACCATGTTGATTATTGCAAGGTTGCATCAATTGTTCCATGGCTGGACGATGTTTAAAAAGATAGGGGAGAGTGGTGAACGGCACTCGCTTCAGCAGTTCTCTTTCTTCTAATTGACTTTTAACTTTTATTTCCCTCTAATTAAATTTTTAAAATTTTATTTTAAAATTTAAATTATAAAACAAGAGTTGCTAGATAAATAATTAGCTCCTCATTCAATAATTTCAGTTGTTCTTTTTAGACTACATTTAATTGGTTAGCTCATGTTAGACAAGAAAAATCTTGAATAATCAACAAAGAAGAAATCGTGCAGGAAAATGAAATGTGTGTAAAATGCCATTCAAAATTCAACGCAACTAATAGTAAAACCTTTTTTTTCTTTCTTTCTTTCTTTCTTTTGGTATTCGATTACACCACGTAGCTCACTAAGGTTATGGCCACTATTTTTTGTTAAGGATATTAATTATATATATAATTTTATCAATTTATAATATTTTTTAAATAATTAGTTATAGTATTTTAAAAATATTTGTTTATAAAATTAATTTTATTATGTAAAATAATCAATATTAATTAATTTTATTAATTATTAATTATTTTTAATAATTAAATTAAATTAAAGATTTAATAAATTTAATAATTCTAACAAAAAGAACAGTAATTATTATTATTCCTTATATAATCTTTAAAGAAGTCATGACATGAATTGAGCTTCGAATATGAGTGATCTGCTCTTAAATTTTAAAATGTTTAGGTTAATTGGTCAGGATTTAAATATTTACCAATACTTTAAAAAGTCTTCTTTCCTCGATTCCCTAAAATAGTACACTATTTAAAAAAAAAAAAGTCACCAGACAATGACAAGTGGGCCACCAAAAGTAGGTGGAGAATAACACATGGTTGATGTAATGCTACTAGCCTTTTTTTTTTTAATTTAAAGGTAATTAATTTATTAATAATTTTATTAATTCATAATTTTTTTAAATAATTGATTATAATATTTAAA